GACAGCAACTCTCATAGACAACCAAGCATTTATGTCTCAGTTACAAATACTAAACAATCATACACAGTGTTACTATGGTTGTCATTACAGAAACATCAGCATCAGTGCAAGAAAGTATCAAAGTCCACAAACGAACTGCAAAAACAGGAGGAAATACTCATCTGATGGTTCAAAGCTTGGTCTGTCAGACAGCTCTCTCCCCTCCCTTCCAAAAACATGATAGTTAAACACTTGTATAAACTTCAAGCTAAAAGAAAAAAGCTAAGCTTTTTAGCAGATTCTTCTTTTAGTGCCTGCAGTACTCTAATGCCACTTGTTCTGCACTCCTCCAAACAATTATTGCAGAAACACTTAACTGGCAGAACTGACTAGGTTCATAGAGCTCATGGCACAGGAAAAGACATGTACATCCTCATACACCACCCTACTGCATCTCTTAGGTCACAGAGCAAAACAACCCACCTCCTTCTACAAGCTGCCTGGCCATGAACAAAGCAGTGGCTCCAGTAGCACAGTTGTTGTTAACATTGATGATGGGAATGCCAGTTAGACCCAGACCATGGTAGATTGCCCTCTGCCCAGAGGTTGAGTCACCTTCAAATGGAAACACAACATTAAAATAGGGTACAAACTCACCAAAGTTTTGCTTTTGCTGCCATGAATGTGCAGTGCTACCAATTTAACTGTAATCCTGAACTTTTGAGCTGTCACCTTGAGTATGGCTCTAGGTATCCACAGTAAAGGACCTCAGAAACAAGATGAAACTCCTCAGATTTTATAAACAGACGTTTGTTCTGTTTGTGCTTCAGAGGCTGTGAGTCAAAGGGACATAACTGGACTGGACAGAAGGGTCTTAGAGGTGTGGCTTGGGAGCTGCTCTAGGTATCACAGCAGACTGACCCTACTTCAGTTGCCACAACACAATTGTTAATAGAGAACCAGAGGGAAAGTAAATAGAAAAATCTTTTTGGAATAGAAATAGATTTCCCCTTAATAGAAAGCTTATTGATGCCATTCCTCTTACTTTATCCACACAGAAGTCTCATCCCAATCAAACAATACTCACCATAAACATAACCCACACATGCCTGCTTCACTGCTGAATAAGGAATCCCAGCATCAGCTAAAGCTGCCTGGCCTGAAAAAAAACCCAGTTTAAAAGTTGGAAAAAAAGTTTAAAATTGATGGGAAAATTAAAAAAAAATCATCTCTCACAACCACAACAAGCAAATCCAGAGTAGTATGTATGAGTCCTGCATTCACAAGTGAGAGTTGTAGAAATTCTTTATTATATGGTGCAAATATGGTCTTGTACCTCATAAGAACAACTTCATTCTCATGATGACAATTTCACAGTATTTTGAATTCTGAACAAGCTTCTTTATCAGAAAATTTCACTCAATCAATTCTGTGTTCATGCTCCAAGGTTGTTCATCCCAATGAGAGTAGGTTTTCAATAACAGAGGTAAGTATTCAATTATTTAAGTGCACAATCCAATTTTAAGCTATCCTGCTGACTTCAGCCTGGAAGGGCTGACCTGGACAGGTCAGTTATGGATTTGCTGAAAGTGGCCTGAGTTTTGAATCTGTTTTTTAGATGTATCTATTTATTAAACAGTACCTTTTCCTTCATATGTGTAATAAAACTATTGGCTGTAAGACCTAAAATAAGCATCAGCAGTCAAACAAAATGCTTTATTACTAAATTACCTGCTTCCTTAGCCATGTCAGGATAATCAGCACTCCTCTCACTAGGCTTTGAAAACTGGCAAGAGAAAAGAAAGGAAAACAAGCTGAAAATAAATCACAGTGAGATTTAACTCATATTTTGCTCAAATTGGTACATCTAAAAGCTCTATATTTAATTTAGAAATAAGTTTTAAATAATGCAAAAACATGTAATTTCATTGACCCAAAAGTGCATGTACAAAATCTTTACAATTCCCAAGTGCTGCTGTCAGACCCTGCAATGGCTAAAGGGAGAAAATAATGCAACTTTATGGGAGCTGAGAGCCATTTCTGGTCACTGTTAAAGAAGATCCATGACTATGGAGATGGACAATATTCCTGTCCAAAGCCTGTGGGTGAGACAGAGAATAACTGTAATCTTCACCAATTCATTGTAATATTCATTGAAACGTTGATAATTACTTCCCTTACACTTTTTTTTCTTTTTTTCCTTATAATCCTATTTGTAACAAGAAAATTATTGTTCTTTGTAGAGAATTTATCATACCTTACTCCTCAACATTGGAGTAGAGGTGACATTTTTATTTTCTTTGCAGTGTAACTCATTAGAGACCACCACAAGTACATGTGGTTTGCATTTTTACATCACTAACAAAAAGTGCCACTGCTAAAAGAAATCCTAATGCTAACTACTTATAATCCTACAAATTATTTGATGTCCCCTGTGAGCATATGAAAGTTAATTTGCTACCTCCTTCTGCTTATGTTCCTGACTCCAGTCATTTGTATCACTTGGCTGTACTTTCTGCAGTGCCTCCTTTCCTTAATTTAGACAGAGAATTTACATAGCAAAGGTCACAAGAAAAAACAGTTGGTGAGTTAGTCATTGTAAAAGTCTGTATTGATACTGCTTGGGCTAACAGAGAGGAGAAGAGAGTCCTGACAATTCCTCAAGTCATACTCAAGTGGTAACTGAGATGATCCACTCCTGAAAATGCAGAGCACTGAGGAACTGACAGTTACACACACAGGAAATGTGGACTGTTGTTGTGAGAAGATATAACAAATTTTAGTAGCCATTAAATCATTGATGTTAATCAAATAGAAGGAATACAGTGCTAAAAGATTTCACTGTAAAATACTTAAGATGCAATATGGTGCCTGACAGGTTTTACTTGGCTCTTCCATAAGGACATCACAAGTGAGCTCAATAATTTCTATTAGTACATTCTGTACCCGTGCAGCAAAAAGACAAAAAGTTATTATTTAAAAGGTGGCCACAGGAGGAGTTTCTGATTACTCTGGCAAATGTCAAAGTTGTCTTAAGATTCATCCATCATGCCAAAATGGTTTTTTTTACTGTTCCTCTTTGAAAATCATAAAATCGTTTAGGTAGAAAAAGACCTTAAAGATCAAGTCCAACTGTTACCCCAGCACTGCCAAACCCAGGCTGCCTGTTCCTGGGTTGGACAACCCTTTCGGTGAAGGAATTTTACTTAATCCTAATTCTAGCCTTAATCATGCCTTGTGGAAACTTGAGGCCAATTCCCCTTGTCCCATCACTTGTTACTTGGGAGAGCAGCCCCACGCCCGCCTGGCTCCACCTGCTCCCGGGGAGCTGCGGAGGAGCTGAGCGGGGCGAACCCTGTGCCCACAACCCCAGGGACAGAACAGAAAGGTCCCAGACAGACCCTGCAGGCCCTGAGCCCTGTCCCGGGATGGCCCTGGGCCAGCGGCTGTGGGGACACAGGGACACGGGGACAGAGGGACACCGTGCTCACTGCAGGGCTGCTGTATCGACCCGCTCTGTGGAGCACCACGTTCACCTTGGCCGGGGTCCGGCCTCCCCCGCACCCTGAGCGAGGGTGAACTTTGCGCGGAGCCGCTGCCGCCGGGCCGGGACCGGGACCGGGCTCCGCCAGCGCGCACCGAGCCCCCACCGTGTCCCGTGAGGGGCTCCAGCTGCACGGGGGAGGGCGCGGGCGGCTCCCGCAGCACTTCCCCCTCAGCGGACAGCCGGGGGGCGCCGCCGAGGCCGCCCCGGCGCGGGCCGTGTCCCCCCGCGCACAGACGGGTGCCGGTACCTTGGTCATGCCGACGCCCACCACGAACACCCGGCGCTGCATGATGGCGGTGGCGGCGGAACGATCCCTGCTTCTCCCGCTGCTGTCGCCTTGTCCCGCGGGCCCTCAGCGACACCGGGGCGGGGGCGGAGCGAGCGCCCGGGGGCCGGGCCCCATGGACCCGCCCCTTAAAGGCGCAGAGCTCCCATTGCGGCGCCGGCCGGGTGTCCCTGCCCAAAGCACAGCCATGGCCAGTGTCCTACAAACATCCTGCTTATCCCCCTGGATTCCCCCATCCCGGCGATTAGCAGACGTTTTCCCAAAGCGGAGGTGCAATGAAGTTCGCTGCTTCTCCAGAGAGGGGCAGCAAAGATGGCGAAGGGTCTGGAATACAAGTCCTGTGAGGAGCAGCTGAGGGAGCTGAGGGCGCTCAGGCTGGAGAAAAGGAGGCTCGGGAGGCCCTCCCCGCTCTCCACAACTCCTCACCCTGGGGATCAGGCTCTGCCCCCAGGGAACAAGGGACAGCATGAGAGAAATGGCCTAAGGTCGCACCAGAGGAGGTTTAGGTTGGACATTAGGAAGAATTTCTTCACAGTAAGGGAGAATGGGCTGCTCAGGGAGGTGCTGGAGTCACCGCCTGTGGAGGTGTTTAAGGAAAGACTGGACGTGGCACTCAGTGCCATGGTCTAGGGGACAAGGTGGTGATCAGTCATAGGCTGCACTTGATGGTCTCAGAGGTCTTTTCCAATCCAATTGATCTTGCGGCTCTGTAACTCTTTTCCTCCAGAGATGTCTTTGGGATGGATACTTGACGAGATCCTTCTCTTTTTCTGAAATGCTGCTTGTTACCTACAGATTTATTTACAGTGAGACCTGAATATCTGACCCTTCATCCACTCAACTTCCCCCTTCCCTCACTCCGTCATCCTTGGGGACCTCCACGGCTCAGGCAGAACTCAAATCACGTCCTGCCTCCCACAGACCCGGCTGCACCCCGCACAGGAGGTGCCAACTCCAGCCAAGCCCCTGGCCGTGCTGTTTGTGGTGGCGCCCTTGTTTCCCACCTCACGCTCCTCCCCCGCTCCCCTGCAGCGGGCTGTCCGCGCTGCCGGCTCTCGTGTGAGGGGCCGTTCTCTCGGAGGCGGGGCCCGGCCGGCCCGTGCCGGTTCCGGCGGCGGCCATGGCCCTGCTGCGGCTGTGGCGGGCGGTGCCCGCGGCGCTGCGCGGGGCGCGGGGCCGGGCGGGCGCGGCCGGGGCGCCGCGGGGCGCGGAGGTGCAGCTGAGCGCGGCCGGCGGCGGTGAGTGCCGGGCTCGGGGCGCGGCTCCGCTTCTGCCGTTCCCGGCGGAACCACTCGGCCTGGCGTGAGCGCGGCCGTGTGTTCCCCCACACGGGGGTGACAGCCTTGCCGAGCCCGGGGCGCTCCTTGTTGTTCTGCTTTCAACAATGCCTTGATACATTTTTTTCAAAACGCTGCTGCAGAATGAATAATTAGATACTTTTTCCCCCCTAAAGTTATGCGTGCGTGCGACCTCAATGCAAGAAGTTCTGGTGTGCATACTTTAGATTTTTCTAACAGCATTAACGTGCAGTGATAAAGGTAGGACAGGACCTTGACATGTCTGTGCACATTTATCCATGAGAGCCACGAAGCAGCCTGAGGTTTGGTTCAGATTGCCAGGGATTTACTTTCTGTGTAACTGTTGCAGGAGTTTATAAACAGTTCTCGGTATTCTGCTGGTTACAAAGACATTAGGTGGTTACCAGCTGTACATTTCTTTTGCTGGTTGCCGCTGTTCACTCAGGTCTCTGTTCCAGTGCCACACATCTCTGGTTCAGTAGCTGACCACGGCCATAGGCAGAGGAATAAACAGAGACCTTCCAGCAGGGCAGAAAGACCAAGCAAGGCAGGTGCAAGGTACAGCTGTGCACCTACAGCACAGCAACAGCATCTTCCAATGTCAAGGCCTGGGAAGTGAGCAGAAGTTCAGACAAAAAAACAGAAGATTTTTTTTTTTCTCTCCCAAGCATACAGAAGCCATTGGATAATAATTTACCAATCACATGTGCTAAGGAGAAGTAGGTAGATGTTGTGGTTTTATTTTTCTGCTTGGACTTAGGAACTTTGAGTAGAGTCCTTTCTGCTGATGAGCTTATAATGTTGAAATTAAATGGAGTTCACTTTCAAAATGGTTCTGGAACATGAACTGAGAGTGACCTGTCTGTGCTGTTCTCATGCAAACAGCAATCCCAAGAGAATGGTTTCCTTCATTAGGAAATGTACTGGAACACAGAAAGGCAATAAAAGTTAAATTAAATAACATTCAAAAGAGAAACCTAAGATGCACCATTTGGGCTTTTGTTTGTTTGTTTGGGGTTTTTTTTCCCATTTCTGCAGTGATTCCAAGATATGTTCTTCGATGTCCTGATAATTTTCTAAAAGTCTGCTTCGTCATAGACTTTTACAGGCCTGCTGAATTTTACAATTGTTCTGCATAACTGGGTTTTGTACACATGGTGTGCCACGTCCAGTTTTAAAATAACTGATTGTTTTAGAATATACTTTATATGCATTTTCAGGAAGGATAAGATGCAGCATAAGCAGATAATATTCCCAGTTGAATTACTGTGCCAGAGAACTAAATGAAGTATAACTGAAATTGTCTCCTATTACTAAGGTATTGCTGAAATCCTAATGAACCGACCCCACGCGAGAAATTCACTGGGAAAAGTATTTGTAAATGAAGTGAGTATGGGCCTGGCCTGTGAGTGTGTTTGGAACCATGATCAATAACTAACTGCTGTGAGAATAGTTGTGGGAAATCTAAAAAATAATTTATGATAAAGGGCAGTGGAAATGGCATTGGGACAAGACAGGTGAACCTTGAGGAAAACAGAATGTAATAGTTACTGCCTCAGATGTGGACAGGGATATCTGGGTTATTTAAGTTAGCTAATTTAAGTTAATTTATTGAAGTTAACTCAGATGCAAGTGAATGTCCTTATTTGTGTCATTACGACAAAAGCATACTCATTGTCACACCTTAGCAGGTGAAATGTTCAAGGATGACAAATCCTATAGAAGGTCTGGCTCATGCCTGGACAGGATGGGAAGTTTTTAGATACAGCAAAGATTCATCTCTAAGTGGAAGGAAAAAAGAGATGGGGAAATGTGTCATTCTGAATTTGTAGTGGAAAAAACTGCAGATTCCACTGACATGATTTCCATGAATTTTCTGGCACCTGCAGGGAAAAAACCCAAAACACTTGTATCATAGATTAGCAACTTGCTATCATTTCAGTGTATACCCACATGCTTATATTTTTTCTTTGTGTGCACTCCCTCCCCCGTAGCTGTTCAGTGCCCTGGAACAGCTCCGCTTCGATGAGCAGGTGCGGGTGGTGGTGTTCAAGAGCCAGGTGAAAGGAGTGTTCTGTGCAGGTGAGTAGCAAAGGCTCTGCAAACCATTCTCAAAAAATGTGGTTGCTCTCAGGGCTGTGTGCCAATCAGACCATGCACTTGGAAATGAGTGCTAAAAGAAATTAAAATAAATCTGTCAAAAGGGCACAGAGGGGCACTCTCGTTACTGCTGCAGGCCAAATGTCCACACTCCAACTTCCATGGACCTTACTTAACTGGAATGCTGTATCTCAGACTTTTTAAATAGTCTGTCCTCTGAGAGGGAGATTTCAGATGTCTTTTCCTGGATTCCAACCTTTTTCTCCTTTATTTAGGAGCAGACTTAAAGGAACGTGCAAAGATGGATGATGCAGAAGTTGGAGAGTTTGTTAGAAGACTGAGAAATCTTATGGATGAAATAGGTAAAGGATTACATCAGTTGGAAAATGTATCCTAGACCATTTGTAGTGAAACATTTAGAAATGCTGAAGGAGGGAATAACCAGCAGGCGATCTACCTAGGAGTAGCTTTCCAAATGGCTTCACCTTATGCTTGAAAGAAAGATCCAATTAGAATTAAATCCCAACCATCCTGCTACCCCTCCAAGGACAAGATGTGTTTTTTATGCACAACAAAGCACATGCACACCTATGTGATAAATACCTGCTCCAATAAAGCATTTATTTATTCCACACTTCTGTGGAATCCTGGGGAGGCAAGTGCTGTGTTGGTTGTCCCACTTCCAGTACATGTTCAGAAACACTCAAAATGTGGCACAGACCTAAGAACATGGATTTGAATCTCTGATTGGATTTGCTAAATGGATTTGTGCAATGTCAGGGAGGGTTGTATCTACAACTCCCTCACCTTGCTTTTCTTTTTCTTTGCAAAATGAATACGAGCTTCTGCAAGTAGTTTTCTTCCCCTATTTATGAATTATTCTGCTCTCACTAGAAAGAAGTACCAAAGTCAAATCTGTCTAAAATACCAATCAAAAGTGCAATAATTTTTTAAAAATGACAGGAGCAATCGGAGGGGTGGTTACAACAGAGAACCAGCTCACCTCAGAAGTTTGCATCCAGCTGCCTGAGTATTTAAAAAAGTATCAAGCAGCTAATCTCCAGGTACATCAAGCTCCTCAGCTATGAGGTAACCTAGTTAAATAGTGTTTACTGTTCCTGTTTTCAGGAGCCTTGGCTAACAAAAGCACCACAAAAACCGAGTGCTGTGACCGAGGGCCTAGGGATGGTGTCTTCTCTTTGGCTGTTGAACTGCAACAGATGAATATTCATGTCACAAATTTTCAAGGAGAGGACTGTTTTGCATTGTAGTGCTTTGTTTGCAAGCTTCTTTGCATGGAAGAAGCATGTTTTGCATTCTTACAAAGAAGGGAGAAGTGCAAGAAGACAATTTTTACTGTTTCCAGACCGAAAACAGAGAGAAAATGAGTCCTCGAGCAATTCTGAACTGAAAGTTTAGAATGTAAGGATTTAAATTCCAGAGCCGTGTGAAACAGAACCTGTGGAACACAACTGTGCAATCTGTGCTCTGTTCTGCAGCTGCCCTGCCCGTGCCCACGATCGCTGCAATCGATGGCTACGCCCTGGGTGGAGGATTAGAGCTGGCCCTGGCCTGTGACCTCCGAGTGGCAGGTTTGTGCTGCTCAGTGTGGCATCCTCCTGGCAGCTGATGGCTGCATTTTAGAGACAGCTTACACACATGACAGTAGATGGTTAATGGAGTCCAGAAGCTTGAGAGGAATCTAAGAGAAGGTTGTACAGAAATGGTGACATTTAGTTATTTGGAAAGTAGTTCCCGTGGTTAAAAAGTAAAACCTATTTTTAGGTAAGATTAGGATTCCTTTAGAAAACTATTTATTAGTAAGATTAATACTGGATCACATATACTCTGGTTACATCTAACCTTCCCAGCTTAAATCAGTTTGGGTTGGAAGACTTATTTCTTCTGTTTCTGTGCCTCCATCCATTATATTTTATCTAGCAGGGACGTGAGGTTCATTTTTCTAGCTAAAATTGCTACACTGGGGTAAGCAGACTTGAGACAGATATGGAGTAAGTACTGTAGTATTCAGAGTTTCTGGCTACCTGGAGAAATGGAGTTCCAGCTCAGTTTCTAATTTTATTGATCAGTTCAATCTGGAAAACTTCTAGTTATACAAATGAAAATGTAGCTAACTCTACATTTATTTTTTTTATAGCTTCATCAGCTAAAATGGGCCTTATTGAGACCACACGAGGACTTCTGCCTGGAGCAGGTAACCTTCATTAAATCTCAACCTTCATTAAACCTTCATTAAATCTCACTTTCTCAGCTGTATTGTAAATATTTTGCCATTAGAGTGTGTTCATGAACACTTGAAGTGTTTTGAATGTAAATTAGAAGTAGCATCTTACAGTCACAAAAGAGATCTATGAATCAAGAGTTCTGTCTCAGACTTACTCTGAATGTAGGAAGGTCCCTTTATACCTTTTCTTTTTTATCAAAATACTGAAGTCTTTCAGATGCCTCTCAAAATGTTAACATCTTCAGCTTGTAGTTATTAAAAAAACATATGACCCATTTATTTTTTAAGGTTCCTGCTTTTCTAAGGAGACAAAATACTAGTGAGGCATTTGTCAGAAATGGAAAATGGTGTTTTCTCTGTTGTCCTAAGGTGGAACCCAGCGCCTGCCCAGATGTGTTGGAATAGGTCTTGCCAAGGAACTCATTTTCACTGGCAGACAGGTTGATGGAGAACAGGCAGCCTCCATGGGGCTGGTAAATCACTCAGTGCCACAGAACAGCGAGGGGGATGCAGCCTACCAGAGAGCTTTGACTTTGGCTAAAGAAATCCTGCCCCAGGTAAGTGCATTGCTCATGGCACCAATGTAAAGGCAGCCTTTGTACTCCCCTTAAGAGAGCAAACAAACACCTGAAATTCCTTTCTCTGAAATACTGAAGTCTAGGTTCCTGATCCTTAAGTCTTTTTAAGTCTGTTCCTTTTTGTGAATGCAGTTTCTGTTGGAGCAAGTGTTAACATCCAGCTGCTTAACCCATAGGGCAGGTTTAGCCCCCAGCTGCAGCCACACAGACCTGCAGGACATTGAAACTCACACTGTGTTCATCTGTGAACTGCACACAACACCAAATTGATTTTTGTGAAGTACTTATTAACTTACTGCAGAATTCTGTAGACTAAGATATCATTTGGAGCAAAATAGTAATATAACAGTCTGTAATAAATTGATGTAAATTTAATTATTTTAAAGTATTTGTTGTGGTTTTTGTTTTTAATAAAGGCGCCGTTTGCTGTGAAAATGGGAAAACTGGCAATAAACAAAGGAATGGAGGTAATAATTATTTTGTTTAAATACTGAAGTGAATGAAAAGACTAGCAACTCTTGCAAATTACAACAGTAAAGATGTTTAGAACAGATGTGTTATAAAATTTTTCTTTATATCAGACATTTAAAAACATTTCAGAGGTTTTAAAAGATTTCTTTTAAGCTAAAAGGAATATGGCAGGATTTTTTTTCTACAGATAGTAATACTGTACTTCTAATTTGAAGTGAAGATTACTTACTATGACTGTTTGAGAGTGACTGACTGCTCTGATTGATTTGAGAGCTCTGAAGCAGCTTTGAGGACTGTACTTCAGACAAACCTCACACCTTTCCTCTCCTTCCCAGGTTGACATTGCATCAGGGATGGCTATTGAGGGGATGTGTTATGCCCAGGTAATCTGCCTTCAGAATTCATTCCTGAAAGGAACAACTGTATGTTAGTTATAGAATGAGCTTTGCAAATGGTTTTAGTTTAATCAATTCAAAATGATTCCTCTTGAAGTTCACTGTGGCAGTTTTTGAGAGCATGAACCAGCTAATGGAACAATACAGGGTATTACAATACTACAATATAACGTGTCTCTCATATTTTAAGATGAAGAATGAAGATTATGGGAAACTGTTTTCCCATATAGATCAATGGTATTTTTCTTAGGTGCTTTGTTTCTGAGTTACTCTACAAACTTACACCGCAACCCTGTTTTTTCCTAATTGCAAACCATGGAATTTTATCATTGAAAGAAAAGCAAACTTAGTCTCACACCACTACTGCCAAATTAGTCAAGACTTAAAAACACATCAGACTTGTGAATGGAAAACATACCTCTGTTTTATTTCTTTTCTCATGTAGAATATTCCCACCAAAGACCGTCAGGAAGGGATGGCTGCCTTCAGGGAGAAGAGACCACCTCGGTTCACTGGCAAATAAAGCTTTCTGCTGCCCTTGAGTTTCTGGAGATCCACTGATTTCTTAGGATTATTTTTATGACACCACTCTGTGCACTTAACTCCTTGCCTTGGACTGCCTTTCTAACTATTCCACTGAATCATTTTTCTGTACAAATCTCCAAATAAAGATTTAACTTTGTATTCAATATTTAAAGCATGTTCATCTGAAGTCAGTGGTTATGGCTCTCACACAGATGTCAAGTAAGGAATGTGGAGAAGTTTTGGCTTGGGCACATAATTTCCCTCCATCACCTGTTTTCCTCTGTTAGCTGACTGGAAGTTGTTTTCTCCTTCTGCTTTGAGGTTCTCCAGCACTAAAACATGCCACACAATTTAGCCCTACAGCTTCTTACTTTCCTAGACTGGGGCCTTCAAAGAAAAATTAATTAATCAGCAAACATGGTTTTAGGAAATGCTTGATAGGTTATCAAAGTAAGATGTAGCTTACCACATCGGAACTTCATGCCACGATAGTATCAAAGGAAACCACAGTTTCACTTGTGCCAAAAATGTGTGGGAATCTTACCAAATTATACACAGACAAATTTTCTGTGCAAAGATCTGCAAAGGTAAAGCAGAGTCAGGATTTTCAGTCTTCACAAAAGATGGCAAATGCTACAGGTGGAACACAAAGCTTGAAAGTTGCTTCCAGAATTATTCTACCCTGGCAGAAACTCCTGAAGTTGCACAGGAGTGTGAAGAGACCTTTCTATAAATGGCATATACAAACAGATATTGTGCACTTATACCTTGTAGGCATGCAGAGTTTTCAGCTTGAAAGAATTCTGCTCACTGATTGCCTGAAGTGTGGGGGAGCAAAAGAAAATGGGTATTTAGCATCTCTGTGCTTGCTGGCTGCAGAACTTCATGAACTGACACGTCTCTCAAACATCTGGCCTGATGCCAGCATCATCCTTGCATTTTGTGCTGCATGAAGGAGTAATTTTTATTTTTTTTTCAGTTAAGTTGCTTCAGCAAATTCTCCTGTTATTAGGAAAAGACAGATCTGTAAGGAGAGTTGTCATCTTTATTTTAAAATCTTGGAGCAATTGATTTATATTCATTCTATTGACACCAATTTTGACAAGTTTTGTGTTCCATTTCATGTATAAAGGAAATTCCATAGCAGACATCTTAGAAGGGTGGTGGGTAAAAGCCTGTAGGCTGTTTTTAATTTTTAAACCACTTTCAGAATTCAAAGCTAGAGCCAGCTGAATTTCTGTTGGAATTGAGAAAACTTTATATAACCAGATCCACAGATTAAAATGATGCCAGCCAAAATTATACTCTAGTACAAAAAACAATTACACAACACTGATTAAATTACTGGATCAGGACCTTTTGAGGTTGCTGAAATACACATTAATTAGGTTATTGAAGATTAGAGGTGGTGTTTTTATGTGAAGGATGGGAGTTGGGAGGGAAAGGATTTAAAAATAGTAAAATACAGTCATCATGAAGAAGCAATTTCTGCTGGTAAGCTACCAAACATAAGTTTTCTTTTTAAATTCAATTACCCAATATTTACACAAGAGTCTCTGAATATCAAATCAGTTGCCATGGAAATATGGAAACTAAGCAGATAAACAAAAACACCTGAAATTAAATTGCATTTGAATGGACATGCAGTTTGCTTCCACCACTTGCATTGTATCAGGCATCTGTACACTGTGCAATATGTTTCATTCAACACATGGTTTGAAACCCAAAGGTAACCAAGAAAGAAATAAGTTGTTACAATTAGCATCTTTATGTAAAATTTCATACTCCACAAAACAATGCAATTGACACAGGGCTTACACAGAACATTGGGTGATGCTTTGCACTCACTGTGATGGCTTGGAAATATAATTCACTGCACAATACTCACAGAATATTTACAGAAAATGAGAGCAATCATTAGTCTCTTATAAATAAGGTGACCAAATATCCCAGCCTTCTGTGAATACATGTAACCCCCTCCATGCCATGATGAAGTCATGGCAGTTATTTTGCTCTAATGAGCCTGCTCCTATCCCCATGAGTATTCTAAAAATAAAAGAAAGATATCACACACAACCAAAAGTAGTCACACAACAAAACCACATTCTTGTTATAAAATTTAAATTCTCAAACATCCTTTTAGTACTGTCTCATTTTAGTTCAGTTTCTACTGCTTTACTTCCATGGGTTTCCCCTTTCCCTGAATGTGATGCTGGTCCCCACCTCGACAGGAGCAGGGAGGACTCTGGAGAAATGAACTGTAAAACGGCATCATCCCAGCAGTAAAGAAAACAAAAGAACATGGCTTGCAGGCAAAAGGAAAAGGAAGCTGAAGACCCATTTGTGTCTAGAAGGGTGAAGAGAAAATGGACATTTTGGTCGCCTTAGTTACAAGTCTCTCAGTCACCTGCATGCACGGACTTTTGTTTTAGTCTGGAAGTGTTGATTTCACAACCACACCCGGTTTTATTCAAACACCAAACTGGTGAAAAGTGTTATGAACAGCAATCACAAGGATGGAACAGCCTTTTCTCCCAGAAGTAACAAAACAAGATACTCCTTGCAGTCTTCTTTCCAGCTGTGCATATGGATCTGTACAAGTCCCATCTCCTGGTAGGCAGCACTAACCCTGCAGGCATGACCAGCTCAAGCTGTGACCCTTGACAAGTTGTGCACGAGGTTGCCATTAAAGGTGACGTTCAGCAAGGTTACCACACATGGTTTGGGTACCACAGTTACCAGCAAATCACTTTAATGGTGACCAATAGATTATAAGTTACTCCAACTACACACAAATCAGAGAGGATTATTACAGAGACAATACTTTACACTCCTCTACCTGCAGCTTTCAGTTTGGTTTGGTTTGTTGCTGTTTTCTACACGGTGGTGGTCTCCCGTGGCGCATAATGTGTTTTTCTAAACTATCCAGGATGGCAACAGCAATCCTTTGGACATGGGGATCAGTGTGGATATTTTCCTTGATGTTGTACAAATGCTGCAAACCACCTTCTTCAATTAACATGCTGCAGTATCTGGCGGCTGTAATAGGATTATAAAAAGGGAATTAAAACCAGAATTATCTAGGGTAAGGGTAGGAGATAATGTAAACACTGACTGAAATCCACTTTTGTCTCCAGGCAGTATTTAAGACACTCCCTAAACTGTCCACAGAAGTGCATGAGTACTTAAACAAGTGACAACACAACAAAGTGATTTGGACAGGACTCCAGCTGTAATCAGGTCTCTTACCAGTCTGTCTCAGCTGACTGGAAAGTGCCCTGTAATATGCACAGTATTCTCTCTTCCCCCCACCTCCTCTACAGGCATTTAAAGTGCACATAAACAAACCAGAAGAAATGGGAATCAAAAGCACTATAGGGTCTCTGAGTATCCAGGTAAATAATAGCCCTTTAACCCAAAAACCTTGGTACAGAACAGTTACCAAAAAATGGTCTCAGATATACCACACCATTTGTGGAGGCCTCCAGGCTTGGACAGCAAATACAAACTAGCTCCTTCCAATAGTTTGCTATTGCTATAAATATGTTGATGGTGGCCTCTCATTAATTATAAGTTGCTACAAATGCCTTTCCAGGGTTTTTTCCACTTACATTCTGGAATTCACTAAGTTGAAATCACACCCCCATCAGCTGCAGCATTATTAAGAGCAGGGAACAGCTATAAAAAGAGCTGTAGGGTGGATGTAATGTGCAAGCTGCAGAAGTTGTTATGGAAAGGTCAGGATGACTGTAATGCAATCCACAGGGCATTACCTCAGATGGGCCCAATTGCACCATTCATCTCAGTGGTGCAACACCAGACTTGTTTTAATGCTGATGTTGAGCATTTCGCTGGGGATCACATTTACTGTGGCACTACAAATATTTTAGTTAGGTTACCTCACTGAGGTGACTGTGACATAGACAAATAGCAGCAGAATAAAAAAAAATATACAAAAAATTTTAAACCAATTACTTCCAGGCTACTTTACACTGTCATCTCTAAGAGGGGGGCCTAAATAAAAAGCATCTCCTCTCCAGGCCTACTAAAAGTTTTCTTGGTACCAAGCACTAAAAGCTGAAGATTTTCCTCCCAAATACATCTTCATATTTCATTTTCTTCATATTACTTTTTTACCCGCGGTAGGTTATGACATTTGCTACCAAACATTTGGTTTCTCTGCAGCTTTGTCCAGAAGCTTCTGGCATCAACTACCATCAGAACTACAGGAATTCTGTCTTGGTCTCAAATCAGGAGGAGGCCAATGCAAACCTCAGTAGCATATCAAAAAGCTCAGATGTGAGGGCAAACAAAACATCAAAATTAAATAGAACAATTAGGACAGCACAAAATTAACAGGAGTGAGGCACAAAGATAAATTACAGGGCCTTATTTAAAATCTGTTATCCAGATCTGACCAGTAAAACAATTCTGTTAGAACAGTCTGACTTCATAATGAAAAATCTCACAGATTTCTGGACAGTACCCTGGGAACAGAGGCATATTTATGAGCTCTATGAAGGGCAGCAAAACAGTATTCTCTGTGCAGTTATATATTATGCGATGTTATTGGTTGGCCCTGAATGGATGCCTTATCACTGCAGAAATAAAGATTGATGGGACAGGGATAAACAAGCCTAGATATGCTGCCACCAAGGAGATTAAAAACTGGCACAGAAAACACTTCAAATACTTCAGAAGAAATCTGCTTTATATAGACATATTCATGACAAAAATTCCTGTCCAAAAAATCCCAACATTAAAAGCCAGGAAGGTTTGTCCCCTCCTACACTTAGGTATAGTTGGGGGATTTATTTCCTTTTCCCAACAATACTGCATAACATCAAATGCTCTCAAATCAGTCTACTTCTCATTTTGCAGATGGGAAAGAGATATTAAGAAAATGACATTTATGCCACAGCAAGTTACTGCAAAAAGGCAACTAGAGATGAGGAATAACTATAGCTTCTGTTCCCATAGTAAGACACTGCTACCTGCCATAGTCATTGCTCTTAATTTAAAAGGAATTTGTTGCCCAGCAATTAATATTTGCATATTCTATTTGAATAAAAACACATGTGCAAGCAAAAAATGTAGTTAAATCTTAACAAATCCACATTGTGGAATTAACACTATGCGTCTAACAGAAAAATTTCAGT